AACAACAATGAGGCAAGGTATTCCAACTGGGATCCTACAAATGTGGAGTAAGAAGGGGTGAGGTGGAATTACTTAGTGGGTGGAAGGTTAATGGTGATCTAAGAAAATAGTCATTATGGGGAGTAATGGTTTATAAAGGGAAGTGTAGCCCAGTCACGTGATCTCTGGGGAAGGTTTTGTGTTTCACGAGAAGAGTGAGAGGGTGTTCTCCTATTGAATGGATGATGAGTTTCGAGTAACTGTTAATCTGCGGAAGAAGGTGGACCTAAATGAATGGATGGAATCTATTGCAACGTTCCCGTGATTTCTGTGAATTTGTGAATTGCGCACAAATCAGGGTGCATTGGTTATTTTCTGAGGAATTTATTGTGGGGTGCCTGAAGCTGAAGGAAGTTGGATGAGGATGCTGTGGCTCAAATTTGGGAAGCGTAAGTAAGAGCTGGGCGGATTCTGAATGTGTAGAGGCATGGGATTCCGTCTGTTTAGTAAAACTGCAATATTTTACCCAACGTATCAATATATTTCACATATATTTCGCAGAAAAAATGAGGAAACTAAAAGGCATTTGAAATAATCGCGTTCCTTCTATTTGAAATTAGTGATAAGATATACATTGCAATGACCACCTTAGTGAAAATCTTTTAGCGAAATAGGGAAAAATGCCTGTAAGTTACTGCGAACAAGGAAATAAACATATGAATGAGGAAAACTGTTCCTTTTGCCATACGAAATAAGTTGGCCTCTTGTGAGAATATTTCAACTGAACCATGGAAACTAGTGTGTATACCAATACGAAGGCTAAACCATTTTCTGTTTCTAAACTAAACATTTGGTCCATTTGTAAACTATCTCAAACAACTTTATCTTGATCATACCCAGTTAATACACCGATTTACAACAATCAGTTGATAATTTTTTTTGAATTTTTGAAGTTTCCAAAGATGGTTTGCTAGTAACTGCAATCACTTGGTAATCACTCAACAAAATAATAATCAACATAAAAATAATATGATAATCAATGATGGTAATAATAAATGATAAAATAAATATATGATGATATCAATGACGATAATAAATAAATGATAGTAATAATAATAAATATTACTCTCAATAAATTCATCGTCTATTTTATCAGAACAGATAAATTTGGCTTTTTGAGAAACAATAACTCTTCGTGTAATACAATAATAGTCATTTTCATACAAGATATGTGTTGGGAATATTGAACATGAATAAGAAAATAAGGTAAATTTAAATTTATGTCTCAGATACATAACAAGGGTTCATCACTGCATTCGCCTTAAGCGGTTAAGTAAACCCAGAAAACAATAAAAGGAAAGGGAGTGAAAAAAGGAATGGAATAGAAAAAATGAGGAGGAAGGAGAAGATGATAATGAAAAAAAGTATTAAGAGGTAGGTAAGGAGGGATCACTCTTTACAAAATTTAGAGTTTTTACAGACAATTATTTAATTGGCAGTTATTTTCGGCATATACTTCATAATCTTTAAAAATCACAAAGACGAAATAATCACATTAAATCAATTAATAATACAGTAATGAGTTAAATCTGATGATATAATTTGACAAAAAATTGGACAAACTGAAGTGATATTTCTTGTAAACAATGGCTGAAGAAAATAACAAAAATAGCGACCAACACAAGCTTTTTGCTCATTATGTATCTCACACCAATACCGTCCCATTCGTGACATGCTCTAAGCTCCCGATATGTGCGGTAGTGTTGGGCATGTAAGTGCAGGTAAAAAGTGAGGTTAGGAGAAGAAAGAGGAAGGAAAGATGGCACGCGGTTCGTGACCCATTTGTTAGGGTTCTGGTCTGGAAGTCGCCTGGAAGAATCTACTGAAAACAACCAATCAAAGCAGCTGGCCTCGAGAATTCTCCTTCAGACAGCGACTGAGCTCGACATAGCTCTCTAGCTAGTGCCAAAATTTATCAACTTCTGGATTCGAACCACTGGACCTGCTGCAAAGCAGTGACATCAATTGATGATCACAAAATAATCCTACATAAGAAGTATATAATATTATTATTTGAATAAGGTCTTCTGCTATTACACGAGCTGTCAAGTTTTCTTATTTTACAAAATGAATGTATTACCTTGAATGTATGAACCTGAAATATACCTTAAATGTTTCCATACAATTTGTCTGATTTCAAATTTAACGTCGAAAGTAATAAGTTTACATTTTATTGCAATCCGCCATAACAAGCGGTTGAGTTCAGCTCAGTGTGACTACCTCTGCAGCGACTGTGACTGGTAGGCCCAAGGTTCGAATTCCTATGCGTATTTTCGACTCTATCATCTCAGCTAGGTCGAATTCATCCGTTGTCTGGAAGAGAATTCTAGCTACCAGATGCTATGATTGGCAGTTTTTCGCGGTTTATCCTGTCAATATCAGGCAAAGCCAGAACATCCTGAAGAACCAGGTACGAACCGTGCGCAATCTTCGAACCTTGTCCTATCATCTCTTATGTGAACACACACACTTACAGGCACTAAACTACTACACATGTCGGGAGACCAGTAGCGAGCCGGAAGCTTGTCCTGGCTGGAGCGGTACCGCTTATTGGGAGATTCCTGGAGGGAAAAACAACACCCACTAGTCGGTTAGGTCCATAAAAACATTCACTACATTAACGGTACTAATGACCTTAGTACCGTAATTTACGTGCCCAGGAACGTTAGTATATCGATCAATCAATACAGTTAATTTCTTGAGGAGTTTAGTAAAGAAATAAATCTCTATTATCAATACTATAGTTTTGCAATGTTATTTTTTAGCAATTTTCAAAATTACAACAGCAAAGTGATGCTACAAAAGCTCACACTTTCTCGCATTACTTCAAATTTTTGCAATTTTGAAAACTCAGTGTTCAAAGAAAATTAGACCTGCGCCAGTATTTAGCGTCCCTTTCTATACTAGTAAAAAATGAAAGAATTACGTTTTTGCGAGTACCTTCCGAAAGCCAGTAAACATATTTATAGATGGTTTTGCATTTTTACCACAAAAATGGAAACCAAGAGTTTTGATCATCAAAGAAAAGTTTCGAGAATATATTAGACAATGTTTTTAAATTATCAGTCAGTACGATGGCCTTCCTCCTCTTTAAATCAAAGAAGCCGTGGTTTGCTTTGAATCAACGTTTGATGTATATAAGTTCCCATATTCTTCAACGTTTCTCACGTCTTCATTTTAAAGTTTCTGAAGTTGAAACGGAAAACTACAATGAAGTGTCAAGACACATAAATTACATGAAAATGAAAACCTTGTCAGTATGAAACATAGTGTTATAAAATTAACCGGTCCCTGCTACAGAAGAAAGTAAACTCAAGAGATACGAGAGCTTAGATAAAAATAAATTGAGGATGTTTGTAGTGACAAGTAACATTTTTTTATTGCTAGTTCCCTTTCAGATTACAGTTCTTTAATGACTTGCGTTGTCGCTAGTAATTTGTTACGCTAATATGAAGTAGATATGCGTGCGTTGGTACATGAAAAATTACTACTTTTTGCATATAGTATGGTCATTAGAAAAAAGGATATTTCCAAAAGTCACTATGCCGCTTTCTATTATTTATTTGTGTCGTATCGGTAAATTGTTTCGATTGAAATAACAAAAAGGCACGGTTAATGTGCAACGAACAGTAATTTAAGTTACTTGAAGTACGATTCAGTATATACCCCAAAATAGCATGTATTGCACAACAAATTTCAACTTCAGTTTGGCCGAATAGATAGGTTTGCATAAAAATGACTGTTAGCTCTATACTCATGTTCTTATGATTTCTCGAATTTTCTTATACAATTTACATACATAAATAGCCAAATAAATGGACATTTAACATTATAAATCATAAAAATTCAAATTGGTTTCTCCTGATATTTATATCAGTTTCAAAGCAAAAAGCATAGAAAACTACTCTGCTATTGTTCTTCATTAATTATGTACAAAATTCGGAAATGGGCCCCTGATTTGTACTTGGATGAAAATAATACATTCTTCCCTCTCCCATATTTTGGGGGCGTATGGCGTATGGCTCCGATACCAAACCGGAAAGATTGTATCCTTCGAACTGCCAAGCCAGGCTATGGGACATGCTTCACATCGTGTTCAGGTGTTTCTAGACAACATTGAAATTATTATGGAGTATCCAAATACCAGTGACATATGTGACGGTCTATTGTGCACTAAAAGGGATGTGGAAATGGTGAAAATCTAGATGTCCACCTTGGAGGCAGGAATACCTCTAGGTGCAAACAGGGCAGTTAATTAGTTCCAATTAAAATCAACATGACGGTTTAGAAAAACAAATATTTTGAAGATTTCAGTTCGAAATAGAGGGCCACGTGCTCTTGTAGGTAGTTTTCTGTGGTTTCTCCGATCAAACCAGGCGAACACTGAAGCAGTACCCTGACAAACGGGACACGGACCTCACGCAATCCTTTCATATGCTTCCTTCTCCTAGCCTCACCCCTTACACATACTAATTCTTACATGCTACCACACAAGCCGGGTGTCCAGACGAAAGCCTACAGTTTGTCCCGGCTGGGGCGGTGCCCCGCTGGTGGGAGATACCTGGTTGGGGTAAACCCCGGTAGCCGACGTATAGGTTGGCGTCGGATCTCGCCATCTAGCGGAGGAAGATCTCCGCCCTCTCCCACGATAAAAATACACTTGCCGGACCAATAACCTTACCAGTTGACGCTCCCAGAAACACTCTTCGATCAATCGAAACGGAGTAATAATTAAGAAATAAAAGTGAAGAATCGCGGGAGACCCCGAGCGCCGCTTCCGCGTGATCTTCCGAAGAGGCGCGGCGCGGTGCGCGCTCGGCCGCAAGCAGCCAGCACCTCGCCAATTCCCTGGCGCGGCGCAGACGAGTCGTGCGCGCGCACGCGGCC